ATTTTGAAGCCTCCGTTGGCCCTGATACAGGGTTGGCGATGTGTAACATCCGGGGGTTCGTAGGCTAAATGCCCAATCTTACAAAATGTACAGTAAGGGAGCCGGTCATAGTGCCTCTCAAACCGGTGTCCCTCTCGCACTGTGTTTTTGTCATAGTATTCGTTGCGAGGATGCCGCGCACTGGCCCCTTGCCGAGGGGTTTCGCTCTTGAGGTGGCTGTTTCGGTTTATAGGCTGTCGATCTGCAATTTTTCTGAGTTCTCTTTTGATTTCGGCTAAGTCACTTTTTAGCGCGTTCTCTAGGCCTGAAGCATTAACACCCCTTTGGTCTTTTTCGCAATATGTCAGGGGTAGCCATCGCGTTAATTAGTGCGTTGATGGAGTCAATATCTGTGCTCAAGACCAGACTCTCGACATGTTGAGCTTTCAGAAAGGCTTGCTCGAAAGTAATTGGTTCGGCATTTTGGACAAAAAATTTTGTTTTCCGGTTTAGGCCTGCAATAAAGTGATCCGTAAGCAAATTCCTAAACGTCTGGTCACTTAGGCCCACAGTAGCAGCTTTTACTGTTCGTTTAAGGCGTTCTGCATAGGTGGTGACGAGTTCACTTTCCTTCTGTGTGCAGTTCATAAGTTTTTGCCTCGCCATTTTACGCATTTTTGGGGGCTTAAACATTTCCTTGAGCCGAGCTACTGCCTTATTAAAATCTTTTTCTTCCTCAGCTAGCTCTTCGTACTCCCCTCGTGACAGAACATCTAAAAAGAACTTCAGCTTTTTTGCCTTTTGTTTATTGGACCACAGTCTTGGCTAGACCTCAGCATAATCTTCAAACTTCCTCAACCATGAAGAAAAAGTTGCATCCTCTTCCCCGGTATGTGGTGGCAAACGAATACCACGGCTAGCTAATTCGGAGCCTAGTACGTTAATACCTGTCTCATCTTCATCTTGCTCTTCAGTCTCACCAGAATCAAGGCACACATTATTAATCTCACCAGGATCTAGGCTCACATTATTAACTTTATTTTGCATCCGCAGTAGGCCTGCATTTATTTGGTCAATTTTGCAGCAGTCGTAAGAAAGCCTTGATCAACGTCTTGCTTCAGCCTTTCATGAGCATTACTCAATTTTTGATTACTTACCTGGGCCGTTCTGACGTCTTTTTCCATACTCTACTCAAAACTAATTATTTCCTCAATTACTAGTGTTATTTAGCCCAGTGTAACCGCTGCATGTGGGCCCGCCGCTTTCAGCCTCTTTAAGTCAAATTTCTTAGTAGCCATTTTTCCAGCCTGATAGTTGAACTACGCGATGAGCAGTGAGTACGAGCAATCGCATCCCGCGATTGGATAGACCACACTAGTGGAAACACTCGCTGCTACCAGTAAAAATTTTTATGGGATGGGTTTGTTTTACGTGTGTGTGGATCGCTGTGTGGCGTGGTGCGTAGACCGGAGGGCCAATTAGATAAATGATAAATTTTATGTCTTACTTACTGCAACGCAAACGATAGCAATAATACACAAGACGTGTGCTTGGACTCTGACGAACAAGTTGGCCTGCTGGGCAGGAGATTCGACAACGGGGTTTCGAGGTGGAGTAGGCCTTTCAAAAAAAAGGGAGCCGAGTTTCCGTCGTGTCCACAGATAGGGTCGACGAAAGTCATAGCTGGCGTGCTGGGGTTGATGTAGTCGTCGTTGGTCCAGGAAGACTGAGGCTCAGAAGAAAGGTGAAAAGGTTTATAAAGGGAGTTGGGGCTCGCCCCAAGGGATGATGTAATAATTTGGAGAAAATTTAGGAATTTGGGGAAATGGGAGATAAAAGGGGATGATGAAGGAAAAGGGAACAAGGGTAAGGGGCCAAAAGAGGATAAGAAAGATGATAAGCGGAAAATGAAATGGTTTTTATGCGTTTTTTGCAGCAATGCAATGCGAAAAACGCATATTGACGAGAGGTTGTC